TATCGAATATTAAAAATGAAACAATTTTTCAACTTAATGGCTTTGTTAAAAAAAGTGATGGTCGATCTAAGGTGACTGTCAAAATAATAATGCAACAAAAATGTATCACTGTTTGGTACAGATTGTGGGTTGGAGGCATCGTTGGAGTATCCGTCTTTGAACATGATACTGGTCAAGCAGTGACTATTACTGGTGCTCGATATGGTAATATGATAACAGAGTTATTTTTACCTGAATTGGATAATACTTATTTGGATAATATGTGCTTTCACAAAAATGATACCACATGACATGCAGCAATTAAAATGATTCAGTTATTATATGAGACATTTCCTCGTCAGATACTCTCTTGTTTTGGTTACCAGAATTGGTCCCCTATGTCGTGTGATTTTTTGCCATTGGATTTATTTTTATAGGGTTATTTAAAGTCAAAGTTGTATGCCAACTAGTTTACAATCACCCGTTTATTAAAGGAGAAAATTTAAAGTTACATCAACAAATATCACCGATCTTGTTCAATGTCTACTATTAATAAGTGTTTGAAATAGAGTAATGCAATTAAACAAATTTAAAATATTATCATAGCAAGGATGTTGAAATTGATGATGAAAATTATAACAACATGAAATACGCAGTTGATACTGTCATACTGGTAGCAAAGAGTCAGGAACACCTTTAAACTCTGTTAAAGGCAGTTTCTATTTAAAGAAGCATTGGAGGATTCCAAGGATGGAGTCAATGTGAATGGCGTAAACATCAACAGTATCGGATACGCCGATTATACAGTGTTAATTGCTGATTCCGACTTAGGTCTACAACGACTCATCGACAAGACCAACTCGACCTGTGAGCAATTTGGTATGAAAATAAACATTAAAAAAACCAAAGTGATGTCAATCCGACAAAACCAAAACGTACCTCAACCTTGCACAATAAATGGGCACATTTTAGAACAGGTCAATAGATTTAAGTACCTGGGATGTTGGATCGATAGCAGCCTAAATCCTGATCTAGAAATAAGATCAAGAATAGAACAGGCCAGAAAATCTTTCGAAAAAATAAAAAAACTGCTTTGTGATTCTCGAATAAAACTCGAAATTCAACTACGTTTATCAAAATGCTACGTCTGGTCGACTCTTCTATATGCAGTTAAAACGTGGACCCTTAAAACATCAACCGTACATAAATTGGAGGCCTTTGAAATGTGGATCTAACGAAGAATACTCAAAATTTCATGGACATCTCATACCTCAAACGAAGAAGTGCTGCATAGAATAGGCAAGGAAAGAGAACTTTTTAACACAGTAAAAGTTAGAAAAACATTATACCTAGGCCATATACTGAGAAATAATAAGTACCAATATGTCCCACTTATAGAAAAAGGAAAAATCGAGGGAAAGAGAGGCCTAGGAAGGAAAAGACTATCGTGGCTCAGAAACATCCGATAATGGACAGGGCCAAATTTTGAACAGCTAATAAGAACAGCTAAAGATAGAGAAAAGTTTAGAATTGTAGTAGCCAACCTTCATTGAGGAGAAGTCACTTTAAGAAGAAAAAAGGCAGTAAACAATGAATAAAGTGAAAAAGGCTTAACCATTAACTCAAAATACACGAAATATGTAGATGATTCTCGGAGTAATTAATATTGAAGACTCGGTACGTCATGCACTCCATTATTTCTACTCACAGTTTTAAATCGGTAGGTATCAGTGCTACCCAGACTTCAGTACCTTCGAAGCAGATTATGAGTGAATGTATATTGTGGTTGTGCACAGTAAAACGCGCTTAGTTGCAAAGCATTTTCATAACTCTTTTAGTGGTTAACGACAGTCCCCCTCGCCACTAACCGTGTTCTTAAGTTTGTCAAATTAGGTTTTCGTTTTTGGTCTACTAACTATACTAATTTTTTAGCATAATATATTGATATCATCTACGAATCCTGATTAATAATGATATGAACTCGTTATTTTTAGCAAATCCTGACCGATCCTGACGTTTGGTTGAAATGGTTCAAGGAGAAAAGTGATAACGAGAAAGGACCTAATACTGAGGACCAAAGTAATTTTAAAGAAGAAGAGTACGTGACTGAAAGTAAACATAATACGGCCTTTAAACAAAAATTAGTCGAAACTGACAGGAGTGATACTAGTTTAAGTGAAAGTTAAGAAATTGACAATCGAGCAGAAATGTATTACACTAAAAAAGATGGAGCAAAATGAAGGAAAATAGTCCCTGTAAAGAACATACGAACTCGTACACATAACATAATAAAATGCTATTTGTCACTACTAAAACTATTGCTCGAAAAAAAAAAAAGACTGAAATTGACATTTGGAGTTCAAGTGAGATCTGAAGTGATATCAATAGTTTATTGAACCATATTAGTATATTGAACTATATATTTATTGAATTTATATAGATAGAATCCCTAACATTTTTCAACGAGATCGAAAAACACAACATATAGATTCAATGAAAATTCGAGCATTTATTGGTTTATTGTTCCTTGTTGTTTTTTGCGATTATCAAGGAAAAACTTACATAGTTTCTGGGATAATTTAAAAGAAAATAGTCTGGAATCTTGCTACTTCTTATCTAGAAGTGAATCCCATTTCGCTTCTTAATACAATGCTTACGGTTTGACAGTGTTATTGATAGAGATAAGCGAAAAGCCATTGACAAAATGGCACCAATAAGAGATGAGCTGTAATAACTTTTGAACAATTTTTAAGCTTGATTTTCACCATGTGAGTTCCTCACAGTCGACGAACAAACTCTAGAGTATTTGAAGGTAGATGCAGCTATAAGTAGTCCATACCGAGAAAGCCGGCTAAATACGACCTAAAAGTATTTGATTTAACTGACACTACAACAACTTGTACGTTTAATTTATAAGGATATGTAGGTAGTCAGTCATAAGGTCCTTATCAAAGTAAGCAACTTAAAACAGTAAGTTGTGTTGAATTTAGTTGAACCAGTATCTGGATTTCATCGAAATATTACAGGCGATAATTGGTTCACCAGTAATCCTTTGGCGAAAAGTTTTTTTACAAAAAAAAAATAACTTTGTTGGAACGATGAGAAAAAATAAACGGAAAATACCAAAGGAATTCCTTTCAAAGCGAAATAGAGTGGAACACTCCTCCGTATTTGACTTTCACGAATGCTACGCTTTAATGCCTACTGTTCGACAAGGCTATCTTGCTTATCCACATTCCATTTCACCTTTAATGTATATGAATCTACTGGAGATAAAATAAACCTAAAGTCGCGATTTTTTATAATATGACCAAAGTTAGCATTGACCTAGTTGACCAGCTTTCTCAAGGTGATAATTTTGCGCGCAACACTAGACGTTGGCCGATGGTACTGTTCTACAGTCTGGTAAACATTTCCGCAATAAATGTTTTTTGCATTTAGAAATATCACCATAATATGAACGAGAAGATATCTTCTTATTCTTCTTTGAATGCAAATCCACTAATGGATGTTAGCGATCAAATTTTCCATTAATTCTCTATTTCTTGCAATATGTATCAGAGATTGTATGTCGTTAATCCCTGTCCATTGCCTTATGTTTCGGAGCCAGGACATCTTCTTGCGTCCAATTCGTCTCTTGCCTTCAATTTTACCTTCGATTATAAGTTGGAGGAACTGGTATTTTTCATTTCGCATGATGTGACCTAGATACGCCGTTTTCCTTTTCTTGATGGATGATGTCCGTGGTATTTTTAGGATACGGCGATAAGGCCACATTTCAAAAGCTTCTAATCTGTTTATATCCCTCGTTTTGAGTGTCCAGCCCTCTACGCCATATAGCAGCACTGACCATGTGTAGCACTTAGTAAATCTTAGTCTCAGTTGAAGATCGAACTTTGAACAAGTCAGTACCTTCTTAAATTTTACAAAAGCTTGTCGAGCTTGCTCAATGCGACATTTTACTTTCCTGTCCGATGCCCAGTCTTCAAAAAGCCACGATCCCAGGTATTTAAATTTATTCACTCTTTCAATGGACTTAGTATTCAGTGTTATGGTGGAGTTTTCAAGTGCATCCAAGTTTCTGGAGATGATCATGAATTTGGTCTTTTTGGTATTATTCTCTAATTCCATTTGCTTACAATATTCTCCGATTATAGTGACAAGTTGTTGAAGATCGACTATGTTGTCACAAATTAAGAAACCATCATCAGCATATCGTATGTTGTTGATCAGTACTCCATTCACCTTGATTCCCATCTCTGCATCCTCCAAAGACTCTTGAAATATGGCATACGAATAAATGTTAAATAAAAGAGGGGAAAGCACACATCCCTGTTGAACGCCTTTTCTTATATGTATGGGTCTTTTTGGTCTATGAGAAGATATCACGTGTTTAGTTCTTGACAAAAACTGAGTTGGGAGTTGATCAAACCTCAAATAGACCGAAGGTCTCAAAATCCAAACATTTCAAGGCAACTGCGACAACGAATAAAACTGTTCCTTTCACATACAAAAAAGATTTTTTGTATGTGAAAGGGTTCGGGATAAAACTACCAGAAAATACTGGTCCAAAGGTGGAAAATAAGTTTGTGGTGACCATTTGAAAGAAATCTTTATAAACTGCCATTAAAATGAAGTTATGTAAATTTATTATCATTTACTTGAAAATAAAATTTTGCTGTAATATTTTTTTGGCTATATACTGATAAATACATTCAACTGATTATATTTTAATGCAAAATCAACTTGAAGTGTCCAAAAAACTGTCAAACAAAAAATTAATGATAAAGAATAATAGTGTTAAAGATTTATAAAAAAATAAAAAGAAATTAAATAAAATTTAAATAATAATAATATTATTTATAGAACTGTATGCATGTAAACATCTAAATTATTTTTCGATTTTTTTACCAAGTGAAAACAGGTAAACAATCAAAAAGTAGGAATTAATAAAAACAAAGCCAAACACTTATCAAATAAACATCATCCGAACTCTAAAATATACTTGGAAGATGATTTACCGTTCTGAAAAATTTCATTCGTTTGTTGTCTTCAATTTCTTCAATAATAGCGTACAATGTAAGAACATTCTCCATCGTCAAAAAATTTTGCAAATCTTGCATACCAATGATGTCTTTGTCCCAGTTGTCCTCCAAAAAGGTTGTTCCAAGATGAAGTCCTAAAAATTAGAAGAAAACTTGAGTATGTAACTAATCTTAGAGACTATTCATGGATATATAATAAATAATTAAGATATTTTATTTTATTTATTTTAGTTAGTTCGTTAATTAGCAAGCTATTCTGCTTATTAGGTGGCGGACTAATACCTCTGAGAATGGTTGTCACTACATCTGTTGCGCGGTCGGCCGATGCTTCCTATTTTGACCACCAGTCTCTGCTCCATTTAGATATGTGATTATTTTATTCTTTTTTGTTGTTTGTTATCTATTCGTTTATTATTTGTACATTGTACTATCTTCTTATTTCTTCACTCCTTTTTTAGTCACTTTCTTCAATACCTGGCGTGGTGTTGAATTCAACACATGCTAGGTTATCCTTAATGGGACACAGTCTTGTACGGTGTTGAGAAGATTTACCACCTCATTTTCATAAAAAATTGCTAAAAGTATAGAATTAAAGGGCCGAGACAAAGAGTTTAGGGAACCTCCCACAGTCGACGAAGTGAAAGCCTCCTCAAAAAAAATTAAAAACTATAAATTCACAGCAGAATTTGTCAAACGTGGTGGATAATAGGTAAACAATGCGATACACAACATATTTTATAAAATCTGATCAGATGAAGGAATACCAGGAAAATAAAGCCTACATCTAATATGCTTATTGCACGAAAAAGAAAACCAACTAAAATGCACAACTACCTTGAAGTTTGAATAATGCCAATAAAAATTTGTCAAATATGTTGTATTAGAGACTGAAGCCCTACATCAAAACCTGTCTGAGAGAATACCAGGCAGGACAAATCGTTTGACTAACAACTAGTGAGTAGTACAAAATTTGTACAGTAAAAAAGGTGAGTCATTATTACAGTTTGTTACGAAACATGGTGTAGACACATTATATTCCCTGACTTCAAAATTAGTCAAGTCAACAGATCCTATGGTGCCTTTATATCCTTTTATGGTGACTATGGTGACTTTTATATCGCTTCGTAGAATCTAAAGTAACAATAATATTAGATATATGACAGCAGACTGGACGAGATATCACGACAAAAAAACGAGTATTAAAAAAACAGCAGAAGAAGTAGTAAGTCCAGTACTTCTATAGAAGGGACATGACATTCTGTATACAAAATGATGAATGATATTATAGGCTAGCTTAGAACTTTGGTACTTATCAACAGCATGAAAGCTAGTAAGGGTACGGGTGACTTTAATATTCTGACCTAGATAAAATCTGATATCATTCGTACTGAAAACTTAAAAGCAAACTGCTTCGATTGGGATGAAGTCTTAATTGAAAGTCCGAAACCTCAGGAACAGTATTCATGTCGAGCCTGAGTCTTTACAAAAATAGCACTGCCTTATCTCCAAACAAACAAACAAACGCATATAGTACACTTTAGAAAACCAAAAGGTGATGCTGGGTATATTTTTCAATATAAAGAGAGCATTCTTACCTCCTACGAAGTAATCACAATGGAAATTCTTCTCAAACAATATACAAAACAAGCTGCAGATCAATAGACTTTTTACTGAGAAGTCATGTCATATAAGGAATGTTATTGGGGGATTTAATGTCAACATAAGTAGCTAAAATTAAACATAAAATAGGCTGTTCGATAGAGGAAAGTCTTAGCCCAAGACCAATTTAATGGCACATCCAGAGATAGAATCCAACAGGTGGTGACTGTAGGTACAGAATAAAAGTTAAATATTGAGCTTAATATAATCCTCCAAAGTACAAAATCTTAAAATTTGTCATAAATTATGTCTTCTAAGTCACCATATACAGATGTGGTGCACATCTATATATGGTGAGTGAATTAAAGTATCTTGAGGTATTATTAGTTTGATTTGATTAGTAATGATTTGTTTTTACATTTTAGATCTATTTCTATATACTGTACTGTATTTAATGTTTTCTGGAAAATGTCAACGTTTTACCCATATACAAGGTGCAAATATAAAGTTGTTTTCTCATCTTATTCGTATCACCTTGTGGAATTTAATAAAAGAAAACGCTACATTTTTTTCAAAACTTATGTAAAAAAATCATCGATACCTTTATAATCTAATCTATAAAAAGAAAAGTATGTTGATGTTGATGTTAAATGTAACGTAATGTATGAATGTAATACTCATTAAAGAAACAGTTAGTTGGCTATAAAAATTAAATTGACAGGATATTTTTAGACTGTCAATATTGTTCACAATTCAATAAATTGTTATGCTGTTTTGTGTATATTAGTTGGTTGACATAAAGAACGCTACGCACAGTGCAACATAAGACCTATTAGTTGATTCAAGGAAGGATCTATAATGGTTTGGGGAGGAATATCTCTTACAGCGCGAACGGACCTTGTTGGGTTACGAAGAGCTTCTAACAAATGAAAAGTATATTACAGATATTTTGTATAGCCATAATGGAATTATTATTTGCTCCTACTTAGGAATTAAATTTTCTTATAATTCATGATAACGCTCGACCAAATATTGCACGTGTGGTCTGTGGTTATTTGGACGAGGTTGGAACACAAACCAGAAACTGGCCAACCTGCAGTCCTGATCTTAATCCCATAAAGAATTTGTGGGAAAATATTTATCGCCAACTCAGAAGCCGACAACACTGTCTCTCTTGATGACAAAAGTTATGGAGAGAGAAGTTTGGGTTGAAATTGATGCCTCGTCGCTGTCAAGAAGTAATTACATAGATGTAAGTATAGGTGAAAATGATTTTAGGAGAGGTAATTGTTAAAGATTATTAAGGTTATGTTTTTTTAGGCTTTAGTTGCATTAAAATTTTAATAAAGCTTATGGAAGTAGTGTTTTGTTTGTTTTTGTTAATTGTTAATAAAAACTTGTTACATTTAAAGTTCTATATAATCTTTGAGAATAGAGATATCGAGATATTTTTTTCTGAAAAATATTATAATTCTAATAAATTCCACAGGGTGTTGCAAAATACGGTGAAAACACAACTTTATTTTTACACCTTGTATACGGGTAAAACGTTGATATTTATCAGAAAACAATAATAGAGTGGTTTATTAGAAATAGGCCTATGGTATGATAAAAAATCATCCAAATACAATGATCCTTTCAGAAGAAAAATAGGTTTAACCTTTTTGGGTGTTTAATTTTGGGCAGAAGTATATGGATTAATATCTTTTACTTAAAGGGAGACTATAAAACTAGATATTTTGTACTTTAAGTAGTGACATATTTAATAAAATAAATTAAATAATAACTAAATACATCTAGTATTTAGCGAAACTATTACAAAAATTTTCCCAGTGATAGTAAAAGAACTAAAATCAAACGCCCTATTGTAAATATTAGATCTGAAACACGACAAGTCTTATAAAAGAAATGGGATTATTAGTAATACATTTAAGGAAAGGCATACATTTAAGGAAATCTCATTAGGACAAATTTATAGAAATTTTTCAATAATAAATTCGAGTTTCCAAAAAACATATTTCGTATCTGTCATACTACCATCTTACATCAGGATAAATCACACTTGAATATCCAATATTCAAAACAAATAAGTTGCTTAGTGAATGTATTTATGAAATATAATAACTTACCGACAACTTTTATGAAAAACCTTTTGGCAAAATCCGACATTTTCTTGTTTTAGTACACGGCACAAGAGATAACCTCTCATTACGGCATAAACTAATTTGTTTGTATTATTCGGTTTTCGTAGCAACGAACGGTTTCCAATGTAACAGGTTCGTTTATTTGTATCTATAAAATATACTTTGCAACTAAGTAGACAAAAATATATAATATACTTTTATAAAATAAGTGTACATAAATTGCTATAAAAAATAATAAAAAGTGCACTTAACAATGCAATATAAAAAATTAAAAGGGGAATATGAAATAATAATTAGTCTTACTAATATGGAAAATAAGGGTAAATAACAGGGAAACGTGACCTGAAATGATGGCCCCTTATTCTTTTTTTTTTGTGACCCTGATTTTTTTTATGAAACTAGTCGAAATACATATAAACATATAAACATATAAACTACATATAAACTTTATTATTTACATTTATTAGAGCAAAACATCGAAATATTAAAAACAAATGAGAAGTTGTCATAGACACAATAAAATAAAAAACTATTATTTACGAAATACTTTTTTTATATGAAAAATCTTTAAAACATCACAAATAAAAGAAATATCAGCACATTCTTAGTGCCACCAGCCGTTATAGTTCTGGCACTTTGGTCAGAATTTGTTTAGAATAAAAACGAGAATAGAGTACGTTTTAATACAGATATGCTGCATCTTAATCATCACTATCGTTTTGTTTAGACCTAACTTTCTCAGGACTATCTTCTTTTATTAGTTTATCAATTGGTTGTCTGGTTGGTTTTGCTATTATTCTTCTCTCTTTCAAATACTACTGTTTTGGTTTCCTTTATTTTTTTCTGGGCTGATGTGGATAGCGTCTGTCTTTCGACGTTTTCTGTTGCTTTGCGGTATTATTATTGCCTTCAGAAGAGGACAAAAATCTTCAATTTGTTCTCTGCGTGCGTAATGGTTGAATATGCTTCGAATTTGGACATTTATATTTCTTTAATAATAATAAAATAAAACAGAATTCATCAAGATTGGAGATCAAGCTTCCTAAATACATTTCTTCAAAAAAAGGAGATAAATCGAAATCGAAAAATTACAGAGAAATTAATTTATTAAATTGAACACTAAAATTAATATCCAAAGTGATAACAAATAAACTGAATAAAATTATAACACAACAGAACAACAAATTTGTTGGTAGGGAAAAATTATGCACCGACGCTATATTTACAATAAGGCAAGTGTAAGATAAATCATTAGAATACAACAAACCTGCATATCTATGTTTTGGACCTTAAGAAGGCATACTTGTAGGAATAATCAAAACGATTAAAAAAATCTACCAAAACAACACAATAAAAGTAAAAGTAGAAGAAGAACTACTAACCGATCCCATTAAAGCTGGACATGAGAAAAGACAAGGAGATTGTTTAACCTGATCATGGATGAAATATTAAAAAAGTAAGAACTAAAAAAGATACTAAATGAAAAAAATGCTCTGCAAACGACGCAATACCACTCTTTTAAAGTAAAGATGTTAATTTCTCCCAAAAAGACAAAATGCATGGTTATAACAGCAAATTTACTAATATGTAAATTGGAGCTATAAAGTCAGATAATAGAACAAGTGAGAGAGTTTAAATATCTAGGTATCACATTATTTAGCTACGGAGAGCTAAAAACTAAAGTGGTAGATTCACTGAATGAAGCAAACAAAGCCGCAGGTGTCCTGAATGAAACAATATGTAAAAATAACAATATCGAAAACGAAATAAAGGGCGAAATCTACAAAACAGTCATCAGACCAATACATACGTGGCAGAAGCATGAACTGACACATAGAGGACAAAAAGGATGTTAGAAACAGAAGAAATGAAAACACTTACAAAAATTGATGGTAAGGCACTATTGGACAAAGCTAGAAGTACAGATATACGACGTAGATGCCAGGTAGAGAACATCAAGAACTGGGTGAAAAATAGAAGATTAGAGTGTAACGATTATATAAGACGAATCACATCAAAAATAGTAGTAAAGACAACAAGAGACGTTCCTCGAATAGGAAGAAGATCGGTAGGAATACCACGAAAACAATGGAATGACAATTTACTGGAAGCACACTGAAACACAGACTCGTATCTACATAATAAAATAATGATAAATATTTCTCTGCAACGTATGTAAGACGCTTTTAATACGGTTATGGCTAAAATGCTGGCTTAAATTTAGGATAGGCTCCTTAATTTCATTTTGCGGTTCTCCTTTCTATTTTAATTTATTTAATTGAGATTTGGCTCGATGAGGACCATAATTTTACTTTTCTTACTACATACCAGTACTTAGAACCCCTTTTGAATACTATGTTCATCAAGAGTTAATAAAAGTTAATATTCATTCGATGCTTAAACGTACAAGACAAAATGCTTTAGTTATTTGACAAATGTTTCTGCATTCAACCAGCCACTGCAAAATGCTACACTGCATACAGGTGTGTCATCCATTAACTTAGTTTTAAAGCGTTTCCACGGAAAAATGAAGGCAGGATTAGCTAATATTCCTCTGGTGTTTATACAATACATAGCTGTATAATTTTGTTTACTTTCAACGCTGCTAATAATAACCGTTTGTTTCCTTCCTTAAAAGCTCCAATTGCTTAGGCAAGATGTTGCTTGTTTTAGTTCTACAGAGTAATTCATTAATATTTTTTATATTATTTTTAGGGATATATTGAAAACTATTTAACCGATTTAATTTAAAACATTTGACAAAGTGAATAATTCAAAACGAAACGAAAAAACAAATTCGAATGAGTGTTTAAAATGTTCACCATTAGATAAATTACATAATCTAAATATTTTGTGTAAATTTTGTTTTATTTTAAATATTTTAAGTAAAGTTTCTTTGGGCCCTAATTACGGTAACTCCCTCTACAATATTTTGGCATAACTCTTGACGGTTTTTTTAAACAAGAGACTTTAGGTAGCCCCATAAATGAACGTCTAGGGGATTTAGTTCGGGACTGCGTGCTATGGGTATACATTACCTCTACCAATTCACCTTTGAGGATAAATTTAATCTAGATAGTTTCTAACTTCTAGGATATAATTTGGTGGTGCACCATTATGCATGTACCAAGAGTTACGTCTCAAATTTAGAGGTATGTCTTCTAAAAGAGTTGGTTAATCTTCTCTCAAACAATTTAAATACGTTACTCTGTCAAGCCTAGTTGGTAATTCGAACGGTCCTAGGTTACAATCCCCAAATATGTTACATCTGATATTTATGGAAAACTCATGTTGAAAATGATGTTCTTAAAATGCATAAGGATTTTCTGTCACATAGGTATGGCTATTCTGCCAGTTAAACACACCTCTTCAAGTAAATGTGGCTTCATCGGTAAATAAAATTTTATTATAAAACATTGGATCGTCTAAATGCCGCCCTATCATAAACTGACTAAATAGGAGCCTTGCTAGAAAATCCTGAGGTAAAAGATTTCGTACTGGAGAAAAACGATACGGATACAGATTTTCTATCCATATTATTCTTGACGCCGTAGATTTGCTTATACCAGTGGCCACAGAAACAACTGTACTGATTTCTGGATCTTCTGCAATACGCACAATTTCATCCTTCATATCCGGATCAATTACTCTCGGTCTTTCAAGCATTCCTGTTTTTGGGATGCTCCAACGCTACCAGGTGTTTCAAAGTCAACCGATTTTGAGGACCACATTTCAAAGTTTTGTGATTATATGTTTTTGCAAACTGTTTTTTGCAATATTTCAAATTGTTTTTTATTATTTAAAACTGGTTCAGCCACAAGGGTTATTAGCAATGGATCATTTTATAGATAACATAAATATACAAAAATAAAGAATACAATAAGATTTTGTTAATTAATCCTGAGGAAACGAAAAAAAAGTATGATACTATTGCGGTCACTATTTACCTAGAATGTCTTTTGTTGTTGTAGGTAACTGTTGATATTGTCTTTTAAATGCGTACAACGGACACTCCACTAATAATTGATGTACTGTTAGATCACTACCACACGCGTAACACAAAGGCTTGGGCTACTTCTGTAGTAGGAAATCATGTGTGATCTTGGTGTGTCCTAATTGTACTCTGGACATGAAGTTTTTAAGATTGTGACAGGAATTTCCTTTGATTTGTGTTTCTTGCAAACATAGGATGGATGGATGAAATTTCTTTATAGGAATTTTAAGACCTTCTAAATGGGTATCGTACCCATTTAGGTTCCATTGAATAATAGAATAAAAAATAGTATAATTAATAAATCTCCGGAGAGGAATCGCTAGGATTATCGGGAGAAGTATTATATAAAATTTGTTCTGTAAGTTTGTTTTTAATTCTAGAACAACGGTATTTAAGATATCTTGGACTTAACACAAGTGTACTTACTTTAGAAAATCTATCAATCCTTCGATATCCTCCGAGTACGTTCTGGCGACACTTAAACGATCTGAAAATCCGTGCGCACTTTCAAGAAGTCAATAAGTTCTTTCTGTGTTAAGTATCCATTGTTAGAGTTTTTTTTTGAAAAATTTACTGGTGCATTTAGTAAGATCTTCTACTATGTTTCTGTTGTTTTCTTGTTGAGTTAGATATTATTTCAGGATGTATCTTGGTCAAAGGTATCCATTTGAGTCTAATTTGTAGGTCGCAGTTTATCGGAGTATGCTTATTTTATTGAAAGGTAATGATTTTTCTAGACGTTTCAACCTCAGTAGTAGAGGATTGTGTATAGGAATTTATCGACAAAGGAGCTGATTGTTGTACTGTAATTTTAGTCTCAGTAGAAGAGGATTGTGTAGAAGAAATTGTCGAAGAAAGAGCTGATTACTGTACTTCCTGTTGAGAGTTTAGATGAACAATATTTTGGGTGTTGTTTGAAGGAGCCCGATTATTTTTATTGGGACACTGAGATGCAAAATGTCCTTGCTGCTTGCATAAGTAGCAAGATTGCTTTTCGATGAAAAAGAAAATTCGATAGTTGTTATCCTCATGGTTAACCAACATAGAATCAGGTAATTTGTCTAAAATAGTTGGCGCTATAAAAGTGTATCGTCGGAA